ATATAGGCCACACACATGTGTGTGAAACTAAATATAAGCATTTTCATCATGGGTTTTATCTATTACAAACATATTCTTTCACCATCAATACACATTGAGGCCCTTCATTTAGGTTAAATTAACGATCTATCTTAATTTTTTCTTTTTTGAGTTTGGGACTATTATGTGTTTAAATAACCTAAAAGGATAACCCTAAAAAACCCTAATAAATGCACGCAAAGCGGGCAATAATTTTTTGTGTTTTTAATTCTAATTTTGTCGGAATTGATCAAAACTCCCTAAAATGTGCAATTTATAGAGGAAATTGGCCTACCATAACAAGAAATGCGCGCGAAGCATGCGAAATTTGAGGATTTTAGGCACTTTCAGAGGATGAAAAGGGCATTTATCAAGGGGTGGGAAAAGATTTTCCAAAGATGGATATTTTTCCCTTGTCCCCCAGTGTTTTTAATTCTAATTTCGTCGGAATTGATCCAAAAATCCCTAAAATGTGCAATTTTTTTAAGGAAACTGGCCTACTCTGACAAGAAATGCGTGCAATTTTTAGGCAATTTCAGGGGATGAAAAGGGCATTTATAAAAGGGTGGGAGTGTAAACATTTCTCTTATTTCTTTTGTTTTCTATATGTGCAATCGCTTTTTAGCTTTTTTATTGTTATCGTTGAAGTATAAACAACCCTTAATACTCCCTCGTATGCTCCTCCTCTCTTACTGTAGACACCCCCGGGGCGGATGCAGGATTTGGCAGTAGGGGGTGCGTGAGGGTCCACCTCACGGCCCCCACCATGGTTGGGCTGAGGGCAGACAATTTTGAGAATAGGGACCTCTCAGACGTTGATCCAGAGTTTTCCAGAGCTCAGTTTCCAAGAATCGCTCACCCTATCGCCGACAGTCGTGTCAGTTGTGGTTCACAGACGAATCGGGATGCCTTTCCGTTTGCACAGGGCAGCTAGCAATGCACCCTGATTCGTCTGCATCTGCAACGAATTCGGAAAAGTTGAACCATGTTCAACCTTCTCGACAACTGTCGCCGATACGGTGAGCGATTGTATGGAAACCGAGCTTTACCCTGACTATTGCACATACCAGTGGGTTCCCTGAGTGGGCGGGGTCATGGGAAGAAAACGTAATGTTTGCTTGTTCCGTCGCTGAAAGATTATTTTAGATGGGGGGGGGGGGTAGTTCTAGTTCTATATATTCTCCTAGCTTCGTAGTGTATTGTTTTTTCTAGATGCTGAGAAATGCACTTACGTGCATTACAAGACTTCTATTGATGAATGAATACAAACTGAATTAATATATTTCCCACATTTTAGCATGGACAATTAATAATTTCGATGATGAAGATGATGATGATGATAATGATGATGATGATGTTGATGATGATGATATGGTGTTGATGATGATGATGTGATGATGATAAAGAGGAGAAGGCATCGTAGCAGGTGACGACAGGCTCCTAGTGCAAGGTTAATTAACAGGCCCTTTGATATGAGTGTCAACCGAGGCCCGTATCCCGATTTCGTCGTCAATGCACACAATCGGACAACTGTAATTATCTATAAGTTATATAATCAGTACAATTCTCAACTGTCATGAAAATATCATATATCTAAAAAAATTATGTTATATGCATGCTCCGAAGCAGAAATTTTAACCTAAAAGTTTGATATATGTTTCATGTTGTTTGTTGAAATGGTCTTTAATGATATTATATCCTAATACGACCACAACATAAGGAAGAACACTTTGCACCTACAAAGTTCAGACCCATATATATTTATATTTCCTTAGGCCTAAATCATAAGGAAGTCCGCTCTATATCCAAATTTCAGGAAATTATACGTTTTATGCATGCACCGACGTGGGAATTTTGTTTTATGCTGTTTGCTGAATGGTCTTCTTTAAAAATATAACAGTCTAATATGACCACAACACAAGGAAGTTCATTCGTTAAATGTTTAGTAGATAGTACATAGTACAGAGAATTATGATTGTTTATCAAAATCATTACGGTATAAAGGGTCGGTGGCCTGCGGATTTTTGCACGAGAACGCGTAGGCATTACTCTATGCTGAGCATGGATAGCTGTTCTATAGCTGGGTACTACATTCCGGCTAAAAAAACTGTCTTGAGGTCTCCGCCTTTTGGCCTTTTCACCAACCTGATTGATGCGTCGGGGATAATAGCGTTGTGTTCGTTGACAATCAATAGAAAATTCAAAATTTGTGAGTGGTAAAATAATCGAGCTCTCCTTTCGCCCTCTGCTGGATCCGTCACTGAACTCATGGGTACACTTCCTTTTTTCCCTCTTTCTTTCTTCCTTTTAACTCTTCTCATTTTTAAAAAATTTTTTCGGCGTGACTGACGGTGGTGGGGGAACGGGCCCCCGTGGCCCCCCGCCGGATCCGCGCCTGAACCTACCTAGGCATATAGATTGGCAAATAAGACAAACTATGCTTAGCCCAACTAGACTTCTATTAAATAAAATTATATAGATTGTCTTGGTTCAATGTCGTAATAATGTATGTACGAAAGTGCGTTCTACGCAATATTGTTGGAATATAATAATATATTGCTTATGTCTGTATATCTCTATATAATGGCCTAAAGTCCCCAGGACCCCTTTTAATGTTGGGGGTTTTTTGAGACATTGTGAACCACCCTCTTTCATATCCTGGATCCGCCCCTGGCTAGAGTGTATTTCCCTTGTATTTCGAAATTGTTTATAAGTACACAATGCTTTAACCAACACATCGTTAATCAGGGATGCAAGACGATGCTGTGTATAAACAATTGATAAACTTAACATTTACTCGTGAATTGCTAGGTACAAAAACATTTCCAAATCATTATTTTTGTACTTTTTGAAAAGCGTACACACGCCTTCAACCCCCTCCCCTAGCATACGTTTTGTACGCTCGTGAAAATGATGAAAATAATGGATGACCCCTAAGTGGAGAAGAGGTTGCAGGGTGTTGTGAGTCTGGTCATTATGATATTTTCCTTTTTATCCTTGTCTTTATTTTTCTCCCCTCTTCTTTTTTTCCTTTTTCCTTTCCTTTTCTCTTCCTCTTCTTTCTCTTTTCCTCCCTCTCCCCTCTTTCTTTTCTCTTATTACCCAGCCCAGTACAAAGGCTAGTTCAGCCCGGTAAAAACCGTCGGGGGGGCCCCCCCGCCTGTTACGCCACTGGGTACAGACGTTGCGATCATACCCCCTTTGTATTAAGAAAAACAATTGCAACCCTGTAGGCAGGATTTTTATTGGGTGGGTGCAAATTTGTAGAAACTGGACCAAAATGGCTCGGGGGATGGGGGAAGGGGGAACCCTGCAAGAATCGAGGGGGGCGGAGCGCAGGCATTTTTGTTAATTTGAGGTCTTATTTAATCGATTTCTGAAGATGCATGTATTCAACGGATTATAATGGTGGATAGGAATTTGAAGACTGGGGCCAGGAACGGGCTTTTCACAGATGCAGGAGCGCCACAGGAGACAACCACCTGCAAAAAATTTTGATTATGGCACTTCCAAATGACCGGAAATTGAATTCTCATACAATTTGAATATCATTTTCTTTTTTCCCCATTTTTTCTATAATTTTTGGAAAATTTAGGACGGGCCTCCTTGAATCTGCCACTGTATCAGTGGCGGATCTAGGAATTTGAAATAGAGGAGGCAAGGGACACACTTTCACAGATTGATGGTCTATAGCACCTCAGCCCCACTATAGTTGGGGCTGAGGTAAGAAAATTTATGATTATGGCACCGCTAGATCAGTGCTTTCCAACCTGGGGTCCGCGAACTCCTTAGGGGTCCACGAAAAATAATTGGGGGTCTGCGAAACATGTGGGGGTCTGCAAGAATTTTGGGGGTTACTGATGTTACGTAGTATTTAGAATTGTATTCACTTGATTAATATATTAAACTTGTTTTTTTTTTTTTTACAATAACGTGTATTTTTTCTTCTTGCAAGTACTGTAGTTTTCATTTCACGTGATATGAAAAAGCGTATAATTATAAATGAGTATGTACACTTCATTTATTGACATTAGGCCTATCAATAAAAATAAAAAACAGTTAAAAACAAAAGAACTCAAGGAATGACAATGACAATAATAAAGGTTGGGGTTTAATGGGGAGAAGTGTGCCGGGCGGAGTGCACGGGAGAGGCGTTATGTGGGGGTGAAATTGAAATGAAGGAGTATGACCTAGCTTTCACTCTTATTGAAATGACCAGTAAACCATTTTCGTTTTAAAACTATAATTAGCTTTTTTATTATGACAAACTTTTTTTTAATGATTTATTTTTTTTTTATTGATTTATTAAAGTGAACATTTGTTTTATATTATAAATTGCTAACCCCTTTTTTATTATGAATAGCAAACCTCTTTTAGTTATTATGAATAGTGAAACTTTTTTTAAATTATGAATAGCGAACTTTTTTTTATTATGAATAGCGAACCTATGTTTTTATTATAAATAGCGATCCTCTTTCTTTATTATGAATAGCGAACCTCTTTTTTTTTTATTATGAATAGCGAACTTTATGAATAACAGTCCTTTATTTATATTATAAGTAGCGAACCCTTTTTCTTGCTTATGACTAGAGAACTTATGCCTTGTGGTCATTTTAATAAATTACTAAAGTGACCCCTTTTCTTGATTATGACTAGCGGTCCTTATTTTTTATGAATAGCGAACGCTTTTCTTCATTATAAATAACGACCCTCTGGTGTAGGGTAAGCTAATGTTATGAATAACGAACCTTATGAATAGCAAAGCTTCTGACTAGCGAGCTTCACCCCTTTTCCTACCCAGATAGGGTTATAAACTAATAATATTTTTTATAGGGCCTAATAATACAAAAAATTGATCACCACCTCAGCCCAAACCACATAGATAGTGGGGTTGAGGTAGGTTGGAAAACCTCTTTCTGGCGCTACAACGTAGCTTGCCTAAAAAACAGTCAAATAACCAACTAAAAGAGAAGTAGGCCTACCTGTAATATACACAACGAAAATAGCATTGCTCTGCTTTGCTCTTGCAATGGCTGCATTGGTTGATTCTTCTAAGAACCAAAGCATCGTAGTCAGATTTTCTTCCACCAATGTTTAAATGGGTTTCGCGCAGGCCCAGCTTATCTGTATGAACATGAAGCTATAATGAATTAACATTGCTGTTTCAGAGCTGTTTCTGAGTTCTGATTGGTTGCGAATTGTTTTGCTATAGCCTGGATGCAGTAGGAAATTAGCGGGAAAAAAGTAAAGGAAAATTAATTTTTGGTTTTTCTGAATCAGTATATCATATAGTGTCTCAGAAAAAAAATCCCCGTTCTTAGAGCTTGGTCAATTTTTGTCATAGCGCTTTAAAATTTTGACATAGAATATCCTATTTTGGGCTAATTAAGATGGGGGTAATTAAGGGAAATAAATGTATGTTTTTAGTCACTTTTACATATGCTATGTATATCAAATGTAACAAGG